TATACATACATATATATATATATACATACATATATATATACACATACATATATATATATATATATATACATACATATATATATACGGCACTATATATATCTCTAATACATATAAACTATATATATATATATATATATATATACATATACATATACATGCATACATACATACATACATACATATAAGGCAATACATACTATACATACTATATATACTATATATTTATATAGCTATATATAAGCAATTTAAACTAGTATATACATATATAGTTTACAAGAAAGTGCCTTAGATAAAAAAAAAAAATAGCTTATATATATATGTATATATATATATATAAGGCAATATATATTACATAAGGCAATATATAATTATATATACACATAATACACCCTTATATATGCATACTATACATACTATATATACTATATATAAGCAATTTATACTAGTATATACATATATAGTTTACAAGAAAGTGCCTTAGATAAAAAAAATAAAAAAAAATAGCCCGAAACGAAAAACGCCCGTTAGGCCCGTTTAGGCCCGCGGGCCCGACCCATTTAGCTGGGGACCATGTGGGCTTAGGACCACCGTGGGCCGGTTCCACACATTGGGACCGTGAAGCCCGGGACCATTTGGCCCGGGACCGCCTCAGCCCGGCCCGTCTAAAGCCCAGGTCCGTTTGGCCCGGCCCGTTTAGGCCCGTTTGGCCTGGTCCCGGACCACAATACAACCTTAGTTTAGATTAGAGAAGAATTGAAGAGAGCATGATCTTAACCCTTAGGGGGAGCGGATTTGTGGTTAGGATAGGAATATACCTAGTCACCGTGCTTAATTAAATATCGTGATCTTAATGCATTCTTAATAGATTAATAATATAGGCGTTAATCTATTGGAAATAGGTGAGTAGTACTTCGGGAGAAGGCTATGAGTGAATTTATCAATTAATTAGCAACCATGAGTGAATTATATGAAAGGGAGAGTTAATTAGAACACAATAGGATTGGTGAATCAATCACAACCCTGGAATAGTTGTCTCTATTGAATACATAACAATCATTCTACTGCTTGATAATTTAGTTATTACTTAGAATTGTAGTTAGCATAATTAAACTCTTGAACTCGAACTTAGCTTGATAAAATAACAATATTGATGTGTTAGTGAGTAGTTGATATAAGTCTCTATGGGTTCGACACTCGACTTATTATTTTATTACTTGTATGACCACGTATACTTGCGTGTGCGTTTGGGAGCAATAAGTTTTTGGCGCTGTTGTCGGGGAATTGAATATTAGCTACTTGTTAATTTTTGCTTTAATTGTTTATTTCGTCGAGTCTAACGTTACTTGATTGTTGCTCGGATCTCAGGAACTTTGATTGAATGCGTAGTGTCAGAAGCCAAGAACGACTTTAAGGCTTTGATCCTGAACCTGAGAGAACATTTCACAGGAGGTTGAGGGAAGCAAGGGACACGAATAATATTCAGGCACTTGTTCAATTTCCTGTGGACATGGCAGAGGAGCAACCCATGGCTGTTCAGGAGGTGGCGATGCCCAACATTGCAAATGTCACCTCCAGTATAGTGAAGCCCAGGATCACTGGGCACTTTGAGCTGAAACAGAGCATGATCCAGCTACTTTATGCAAACAGGCAGTTTATGGGTCTTCCACACGAGGATCCACAACAGCATATTCTGAACTTCTTGGAGATTAGTGATACTTATATCACTAACGGGGTCACTCCAGATTATGTGAGGCTCACACTTTTTCCATTCTCTCTGTTGGGTGAGGCTAAGCGATGGCTAAAGGAAGAACCAGCTAATTCCATTACAACATGGAATGATTTGGTGAGAAAATTTCTGGCAAGGTTCTTCCCTTCAGGCAAAACTGCAAAGATCAGAAGTGAGATAGTTGCCTTCAAACAGAAAGCGGGAGAATCTTTATACTCAGCTTGGGAAAGGTTCAAGGGGCTACTCAGAGACTGTCCTCATCACAATCAGACGAATGAAGTGTTAGCTCACACTTTCATAGAAGGGCTACATTCTAAAACAAAGATCGTGGTAGATGCTGTAGCTGGGGGTCAAGTGTTGGAGAAAAACTTTGACGAGATATATGCGCTATTGAACAAATTCTCCAAAAGCAATCTGTATTGGCAAAGAGAGATGGGCAAATACATCTGCAGGGATTCTTGAGTTAGATGTCGTCTCAGCATTATCAGCGCAGATTTCTACACTGACCAATCAAGTCAATCAGATGAATTTGAGTATCAACAAGCAACAAGTACAACCGGTACAACAGGTTCAAGCTTTTTGTGAAATATGTGGAGAGGGGAACACGAGCGACACATGCCCCGCAAACCCAGAGTCTGTCTGCTTTGTGGGTAATTCAAATAGGGGCCAAACAAACCAATATGGGAACACTTACAATCCCAACTGGAGGAACCACCCAAACTTCTCTTGGGGTAGAAACCAGAGTACTCAGAATCAATACAGGCCTCAAGCACCTCAACAGCAATATAGACCACCTCAGGTTGAACAACAAGCGAGTCCTACAAGTCACCTTGAAGACATGTTGAAAAAAGTGATGGCTGAACAACAAGATCTCTCTCAAAAAGTGATGGCTGAACAGCAAGCCTCGCCATAACAATGAGAAATTTGGAGCGTAAAATGGGACAGCTTGCCAGTGCTCAAAACACTAGACCAGATGGAGATTTTCCAAGTGACATTGAAGAAAATCCTAGGGCGGCCCTTAATGCCGTATCGTTAAGGAATGGGATACAACTAGAAGAAGTTCAGTCTAAAAAGAGGAAAAAGGTGACTTTTAATAAGAGGCCAACCACTATAGAATCAATATCAGAAAAAGCTAAGGAGTTAGAGAAGCCAGTTGGAGAGGCGGTGGCTGAGCAACCTCCACAATTGGTTGCAAGGCCACCACCTCCATTCCCTCAAAGATTGCAGAAATTAAGAGATGATGCCGCATATAAAAAGTTTCTTGATATCTTGAAGCAGGTGGACATTCATATTCCATTGGTTGACATCTTACAAGAAGTACCCAAATATGCAAAGTACATCAAGGACATTGTGGAAAACAAAAGGAGGCTAACCGAGTTCGAGATTATGGCACTCACTGAGGAGTGCAGTTCAAGAATTCATGGCAAGTTACCTCATAAATTGAAGGATCCAGGTAGTTTCACTATCCAAATCTCGATTGGTAAACATGATGTTGGGCGAGCTTTATGTGATCTTGGAGCGAGCATCAACTTGATGCCGCTATTTGTGTTCTGACAGTTGGGGTTGGGTGAGCCACGCACAACAACAGGGAGTGATTGAAGATGTGCTAGTTAAAGTGGGTTCTTTCATATTCCCTGCTGATTTCATTATCCTGGACTACGAGCCCGATCGGGAAGTCCCATTTATTTTGGGGCATCCATTCTTAGCCACGGGCTGAGCTATTATTGATATTTGCGAAGGAAAGATGACAATGAGAGTGAGTGATCGAGTGTAGGTCTTCAATATTTATAGAGCACTCAAGCTACCAGCCCACTATGAAGAGTTATCCGTGATCTCTATGGTGGAGAGTGATGCCACATCGTTAGTGCCCTATATGAGCCCTGTAGATCCTGTTGAATGCGTATTGATTGGGGATGTAGAAAATAGTGAAGATGAAATGATGGGAGAAATTAAGCAAATACTGGATATGTCCTGCAGTTATGTCTAGGGGTTTAAAAAATTTGAAGAGTTTGACATGCCTGTCACTCTGACCCTTCCCAAGCCATCTATTGAAGAAACTCTGAAGCTAGAACTTAAGCCACTTCCAGCGCATCTGTGCTATGCTTATTTGGGAAACTCTGAGACATTGCCTGTGATTATTTCGTCCAGCTTAACCAGCACTCAAGAAGAAAAATTGCTCCGAGTACTCCGCGAGCATAAAAAGGCCATTGGGTGGACTATAGCTGACATCAAGGGTATTAGTCCATCGTTTTGCATGCATAAAATCTTTTTAGAGGATGGACACCGCCCCAGTGTGGAGCAACAAAGAAGATTAAACCCCATTATGAAAGAGGTGGTGAAAAAGGAAGTAATCAAGTTGCTCGATGCAGGTATCATTTTTCCTATTTCTGACAGTAACTGGGTAAGCCCAGTTCAATGTGTGCCCAAAAAGGGAGGAATGACTGTAGTTGAGAACGAGAAGAATGAGATAATCCCTACTCACACTGTTACGGGATGGAGAGTCTGCATTGATTATAGAAGGCTCAACAAATCAACTCGCAAGGACCACTTCCCACTTCCATTCATCGACCAAATGCTAGACAGGTTAGCCAGGCATGAATATTATTGCTTCCTTGATGGTTATTCGGGATACAATCAAATTATCATATGCCTAGAGGATCAGGAGAAGACAACTTTTACTTGTCCTTATGGCACTTTTGCCTTCAAGAAAATGCCATTTGGTCTTTGTAATGCACCAGCCACTTTCCAGAGGTGCGTGATGCCTATTTTTACCGACATGGTGGAAAAATTCATAGAAGTGTTTATGGATGATTTTTCAGTTTTTGGGTCTTCTTATGATAGTTGCTTGAGGAATTTGAGCAAGGTGCTAGCCCGTTGTGAAGAAACAAATCTGGTACTAAAGTGAAAAAAAGTGCCATTTTATGGTACAAGAAGGCATCATATTGGGTCACAGAGTATCTAGGAGCGGCATTGAAGTTGGTAAAGTGAAGGTGGAGACGGTTGAAAAATTACCTCCACCTATTTCTGTGAAGTGTGTCAGGAGTTTCTTGGGACACGCGGGTTTCTATCGGCACTTTATTAAAAATTTTTCGAAAAATGCTACTCCTTGTGCAGGCTACTTGAAAAAGATGTAACTTTCAACTTTGATGATGCTTGCCTCAAGGCATTTGAAGAACTTAAAAAGAAGTTGGTGATTGCTCCCATTATTGTGGCACCTGATTGGTCCTTACCATTTGAACTTATGTGTGATGCGAGTGACCTTGCTATTGGGGCAGTGCTAGGCTAGAGGAAGGACAAGGTGTTTTATTCCATCTACTATGCAAGTAAGACTCTTAACGATACACAACTAAATTACACCACCATTGAGAAGGAGTTGTTAGCTATTGTGTGGGCCTTTGAGAAATTTTGGGCATACTTGATGGGAACGAAAGTCATAGTCCATACCGATCATGCAACAATCAGGTATTTGTTTACAAAAAAAGAATCTAAGGCTAGATTGATGCACTGGGTTATATTGCTACAGGAATTTGATGTAGAAATACGAGATCGAAAGGGGACAAAGAACCAAGTAGTTGACCATCTATCAAGGTTGGAAAATCACGATCACGTGGAGGAGGGTGGCCAAATTAAAGAAGTATTTCCTGATGAGCAACTTTTTGCTATAACCCAAGACCCTCCTCCATGGTACGCAGACTATGTGAATTATCTTGTGAGTGGGATACTTCCTCTTGAAATTGAATCTGAAGCTAGAAAGAGGTTTTTACATGATGTGAACTTTTAGTACTGGGATGAGCCCTATTTGTACAAGCAATGTGCTGATCAGTTGATGAGGAGATGCATTCCTGAAAAGGAGGTGGAATTAGTGTTGTATGATTGTCACACATCACCTTATGGGGGCTATCATGGAGGAGATAGAACAACTGCAAAGGTGCTACAATCCGGTCTCTTTTGGCCGACTTTATTCAAGGATGCCCATGCATTCGTTAAGAAGTGTGACAAATATTAGAGAACGGGAACAATCACAAGGAGGCATGAGATGCCTTTGAATAACATCCTAGAATTTGAGCTTTTTAATGTGTGGGGGATATATTTTATTGGGCCATTTCCATCGTCCAGAGAAAACAAATACATTTTACTAGCAGTTGACTATATGTCAAAATGGGTGGAGGCAATTGCTTTGCCAACAAATAATTCCATGGTGGTAGCTGCTTTTGTGAAAAAGAGCATATTCTCGAGATTTGTGATTCCACGTGCCTTATTTAATGATGAGGGGACTCATTTTTGCAATTGGTTGCTGAATAACCTTCTAGATAAATATGGAGTTCGCCACAGAGTTGCTACAACATATCATCCTCAAACCAGTGGGCAAGCTGAGGTGTCAAGCAGAGAAATAAAGCAAATATTAGAAAAGACGATGAGTGTGAATAGCAAGGATTGGGCTGCAAAGTTGGATGATGCCTTATAGGCGTATAGAACTGCATATAAAATGCCAATTGGAGCGTCCCCTTACAAGCTGGTTTATGGGAAGGCATGTCACTTACCCATTGAACTGGAACACAAGGCATATTGGGCCATTAAGAAGATGAACATGGACCTTGAGGCCGCAGGCGAGAAAAGACTTATGCAGTTGAATGAGTTAGATGAGCGCAGACTGCACTCTTATGAAAATGCTAAGCTATATAAAGAAAATACAAAATGATGGCATGACAAGCATATCAAGCCGCGTCACTTCAATCCAGGACAACATGTATTATTATTCCCTGGAAAGCTAAAATCGAGATGGTCAGGTCCGTTTGAGGTGGTGAGAGTCACGCCTTATGCTGCAATCAAGCTACGAGCTTTAAATGGTAAGAGGAAATTCTTGGTGAATGGTCATAGAGTCAAGCATTATTGGGGAGGAATGATTAATCGTGAGAAGACCAAGGTTGTACTCACTGATGAGTAGGTGGGACTCTACGTCGTGCCACGACGTTAAATTAGGCGCTTGTTGGGAGACAACCCATCTTTACTGATTCCTTTTATTATTATCATTTTTTTGTTCTTATTATTGTAGTAGTATTTGTTTTTGTTTTGTAGGATTATAAATATATGAGGCAAAGTCATTGGAAGACTGCAAAAGCAAGTTAGAGGTTGAGGACTAAGTGTGGAGTGCCCACACGAAGGACTATGCCTAGGGGAAGTCTGAGTACTCGTGAGCCGCTATTGCTTCGGCCTTTGGCCTTTTAGGGAGTTTTTTGTCCACCCTTGTTATTATTTTGCTTTATTTGTGCATTGAGAACACTGCACTCTTTTAAGTGTGGGGTGGGAGAATTCTCTAGATGATTAGTAGGATGTAGAATTGGGTAGCATTTTAGTAGCTAGAAAAAAAAATTGAAAAAAATAAATAGAAAATTGGACTTTTCCCGACGATGGATCTCCTAGGCAGTTTTCTTGAGGGATTTAAGTCTAAAGAAAAAGAAAAAAAAGATTTTCTTTGTAGGTAGTGTAGCAATTTCCCCTTGGTTTTTCTTTTTGCCGCGGTTTTTTTCCAAGGGTTTTGTTTGAACCGGGTATAGTTAGTTTTTATTTTTTAGAAATAGGAAATTTTGTGCTATGTTTTGAATTGAATCAATCTCTTTTAACCTTGTCATGCCTTGAGAATAGTGAGTACTTTAGTTGTGACGCTTAGGCTCAGTTTTTGACTCTTATATAAGTACCTTAAATTGTACGATCTTAACTTTGCTTAACTGCTTTGACTAGAGTGTCTTGATGAGTCCAATCCTGAGTGAGTTATGTGTCATGTGTGTGTAAGGTTTTATATTATTCTGTGCATTGCATTTGATGTCTAGAACTTGCCCCGTATATTTGCAAAGCGAAATAGTAGTTTCGTTCAGTACTGTAAGTGATATAGGCGTTTCTTTGTTGAGCAATATAAATATTTGACCCGCCTAATTGTTATGTATCATAGTTAACCCCTTTGAGCCTGTAATCCTGTTTCTTTGGCAACAACATTACAAGTTTTACCCATTTGTTTGAATTAACCATGTATTGGAACCTTTTCACCTCTCATGAGCACTTGAATTGTTATGAACTTTGTAAAAGTTAAAGTGTGGAGTGGTTGGTTTGGCTTTTGAGTGGAACTAATGAAATAAGGAGAAATGTGAACTATTTTGAAAAAGTAAGAGCCACATGAATTGAAAAGAAAAAAAAATAGTTGTATTGCTGTGAAATTGTGCTTAAAGAAGTGGAGAGTTAATATATATTGATGTGAAAGTGGAGTTATGGTTTGACAGAAGTGTGGGGTTTTGAATGTTAAATTATATATATTAAAGTGCTTAGGGAGGTGTAGTCACTCTTATATCTAAATGTAACCTACCCGTCCCGCAGCCTACATTACAGCCAAATAAAGTCCTACTTGATCTTAGACTGAATGAGCTCGATTAGTAGAGTAGTACACTACGGGCAAACCTATGGTGCATCTTTTGTGGCATATGAATGTTAGTTCTGAGAGTGAGTGAATTCTTTTTGTCTTGAGTTCCTAAGTGTTCTTAAATTTTATTGTGTGGAACTACTCT